GAGGGAGGGAGGGAAAGGAAGGAAATCTGACGTCAAGGCAAGAGAGAGAAATACAGACTGTAGATTCTTATATTATGTAGGACAATAGTTGGCTCTGAGCTTCCTGGTGACCAGAAGGAAAAGCAACACACAGTTCTGGTGTGAAAATAAGGAAACATAAGTTTTCCTCAGAGAAAGCAAACCTTTTCCTGCACTTAAGCCTGAGGTAAGGAGGCTTTGAGACACTCAATGAGTAATGTTCAGCAAATCCTTGCAACAGATCTGGGCACAGGCTCCGAAGCCACTTATCGAGAGCTAGGAGCCCAGCATCACAGTACAACTCAGAGAAAGAGATTCTGCAAAAGGCAAGACAGCTGGAATTCCATATGCTGCGTCGTGGAAGGTCCAGCATTACCCTGAATAAAGTCCCAACTGCCTGGAGCAGCATTTTCCTAACTGGGCCTGGAAAACCCTAGAATCCCAAGATGTTAGAATTTCTTATTGGGGGAATAAAAGGACTCTGTGAACTAATGCATTTAGGAACTCTAAAGTTAAACCAAGTTAGCTGGTTTTTAAATATGGGACTTCACAGAGTCCTGAGACTCCCTAAGCAGATTCAGTGTAATTTATCTTTAGTTAACGTTTCTGAAACTTACTTGACCACTGAATCCTTTTGGGGGCATGTGACTACTTATTATAAGAACCTAATTTGGGAAATGCTGGGCTTGGCTTCTCAGTAACCTTGGGAAAGTTCCTTTAATTCATTGACTCTTGGTTTCCTTTTTTGCAAAACAGAAATCCTATTGGTTTAGTACCATTAGCTACTGACAGAGTTGTTGAGACTTTTGGACAGTCTTTGGAGTCCTATCTCCAGGAACATTCTTGAAAAGGAGAAATTTTAGAACCGAGATCTTAGAGGTCATGTAGGCCAACCTTTCCTCCCTCTTCTCTTTTCAAAGATGAAGAAACTGAGTCCCAGAAAGACGGAGTGATTTCCCCAGAGCTTCACCCGGACCCCAGGCCTTCTGACTTGTACCGTCATACCGATTCATGTTCTTTAAAACAGAAGCCAGCGGATAGAATTTAAACTTCCTAGATGACTCAAGATTAGCATAAGGAGCGTCAGGTCTGGGTTTCAGGTCAACGACACCGTAAAGGTTATTAAATTGTGGAGCGGCGTGTGCCGGACCCCGCTGGACCTGCCTGCCCAGCGCCTCCAGTCCCCCGTCTCTTCTCCCTTTAGTCACACTGCCAGCGTACTTCGGTCACCGTGGCTGCCTCTCGGAGCCCTAGCTCCACTGCTAGTTATTGCTCCTGCCTCTGAAACCTGATCCTCCGTCTCAACTAGAATACTTGTCAGATGAGGGAAAGTGGCCTCGGGAAGTCAGTCACAGGAAAATGGTGACTCCTGGGCATGCTCTGTCTTTGGATGGGACGGCCTGTGGCCGGGCAGGCTTACCTCTGGTCCCCTTGCCTCGGCAGATCCAGCAGTTTATCCAGGACTTGTCGGACATCTGGGCGGAGGTAAAGAAGAAGGACCTTCCTCAGATCCGGGTGTAAGGAGCAGCCACGAGCAGAGCCGGAGAGAGGATGAGTTCCTGCTGAGCCCGCGGCCCGGTCGTCCCGGTCCAGCCCTCGGGGACCCCTGCGCCTTGCTGCTTGCAGACACCCTGCCGCACTTCCCCTCGGGCCCCAGCCTACCCACCCCGACATTAAATTCCATGAGAAGTTTGTACCTAAGCTCTCGGTTATTTATTCACGGGGAAGAAGGTGCATTGAGGAAAGAATCCCCCAAAGCAGCCCCTCTTGAAGCTGGTCACTGGGCTGCTCAGGGTCTAGAAATCAAATCTCAAGTCAAGAGTCTCCTAGGCTTTGGACTCGCACTCAGTAAGTATTCATATGGGCAACACACCGGGGGGGTAAGTCCATGGGACAGTTTTTTCCCTCTACCATTTCAAAAAAAATTTTTGAGGTTGATGTTTCTAAATGGGGTGCAGAGGCTCACTAGGAGCTGTGAAGGCAGCTTCCCAAGTCAGAGTTCCAGCTCTTCCTGACCTTGGGAGCAAGCCCTGCTCTCCTGCCCTCTGTGAACCCTGAAACTACAATATGGTATCAGCAACACTAATCTAGGAATAGCAGGCAGGCTGCCAAATGACAGCATCCGAGCAGGCCGGGATGATGGCTGCAGACCAGCAAACAACTGAACACGGGTCGATGCAGAGTCTTCCCCTTAGGGTCCAAGCTCAGTTACATATCTGCACCCTCAGTGGCGTGTCGGGTCCAAGACAGCCAGAGGAAGCAGCATCTACTGAGCGTTTCCTTGATGTTCATCAGCCCAGTGAAAAGTCTGTGCGACACCATGGTTCCGGTCTTAGCTAACACGCCACTCGCCCAAGGACCCTGGTACAGATGACAGGGTCAGGATTCATGTGGGAGTCGGCCTGCCCTGAGCCTGGGATCCCTCAGCCAGGCTGTCGTTCAGAAGACTGAGACTGTGCCACTGTCCCCGCCAACGAAGGCTGAGGAGCAGGCCCGAACTAGGCTCCTCGTTTCCTCCCTGGCCCATTACCTCCAGGCTGCTGCAGCCGCCCCTCTGGGATCCTGCTGTGGGCAGCGATCCCCTCAGCCTTGTCTATACCACCATACAGCAGTGTTTCTCAGCATCCACAGACCTGGGAACTTATTAGAAATGCACATCCTCAGGCCCCACCCAGACCTGAGAATCTGAAACTCTGGGTGGGCCCCAGCCATCTGGGTTTTAACAAGCCCCCCAGGTCATTCAGACGTGTGCTCCAGTTGTAGCACCACTGTTTTATAGTGGACCCAACACTCTCAAGGACCTGGGCTCCTGTCACCTCCACCACCCACGTGAAGTAATGCAAGTCAGTAACAACCTGTCTCAGCCAGCTGGCAGTCAGAGAAGCAGAACCACAGAAGACAGGTGTACAGAAAGGGCTTTGTTGGAGGGATTGACCTTGGGCGCTGGTTGAGCACTCTCTGCAAAGCTGCTGTCTGCAGGTCTGATGCTGGACCCTGAAACCCACAGCGGGAGGCAGTTGGGAAAGAAATATGGGTGTCAAGTGGGGGAGATAAGAATGAGTCTGAATCCATAGGCATAAGCTGGGGACAGACAGAAACCCACGCAGTTCTTGTCGCTTCTGAGCTCGGGGTGTGTGTGTCCTACAGCTGCCAGGATCCTTCACTTTGGAACTGAGCAGGCACATCAGGCCCAGGCGCCACTGGAGCCGCTGAAGGAGGACCAGGGAGGGTGGAGCAGGACAGCCAGCAGCTGACCCACACAGAGGAGGTGACAGATGAGCCGCGGAGCAGCAACAGAATGTGTGAGCTACAGGGTGGCTGCCACAGAGGTTTCTGTGAAACACACCGCCCCCTCCCACAGAAACACCCAGGGAAGGGAGTTCTGGGACTATGGTTCATCCCAGCCAAGCTGCCCTGTCCCCGAGCCTCCACCACCATGATCTCTGCTTCACAGGTGAGGAAAGGAGGGGGACTGGAGCTGGTCACCCCAGCCAAAGGATCTTCTCTCTGAAAGGGTATGAGGATGGGCGAGCTCTAGGGGTGGTGCTGGGGCAGTGGGTGGAGTCCCTGGAAGGAGACCAGGGCCTTTCAGAAACAGGTTTGTAGGTGAAGGACATGCCTCTAAAATAGCTCCCCCTTCCCTCTGGGCTGTGTCCTGAGATGCAGGGATGGTGCCCCCAAGCCCCCAACTTACACACCCCTTACCATTTCCTGTGCTTCTGTGAAGTGGTGCTCGAGGAGACCAACCTATAAGGACTGAGCGCAGGCCCCGGGAGGCTGAGCGCCCCTGGCCACCCCGCCCCTTCCCAGGCCTGAGCTGGAGACCCTGCCTCTCCCTTGCCCCTCTCCCCTCCAGGCTCCAAGGCCTGACGGAAATGCAGAGTTGCGAAGGGTTGCTCTTAGGGTTCCCGTGACCACACACAAGCCTGTCTTAACCCCCACACGCTACAAACGTGCACAGCTCCCTCTGAGACTCCTGAGATTTTAGGTTTCAGAGCAGCCCAGACCTGGGACAGAACTTATGTGGGTCTGGGCAGGGTTCTCAATTACAAGCAAAACTGCAAATCCACAAACTTGTTCCCAAGCCCACAGAACAGGGCAGAGCAAACCCAGAGGCCCAGGGATTCTCATAAGCCAGAGCGAGAGGGCTGTTCATGGGGAGTGGGGCTGGGGCGGGTTGCAGGGACAGACCCTCCCTCCTCCCCCACCCCTCAGCATGTCTGCCCCGGGCCCGGGACCCATGAAGCCCAAGACTGCCCAGTCAAAAGAGATTCCAGCTCCAGGTGCATAAGATCACGGACCAAGAAAAAGAAGCTAGAATTAAGAGCCGATCGGAGTTCTCCCAGCAAAAAGACACCAGCTCGTTAAAGCAGAAATAACTGATTGGTTCCAGAATGAACAGTTCTCTCCAGTACAGGCAGGAAGGAGGGCTCCGGGTGTTTCATGGGTAAAAGGAGGAAAGACCTTCAGGGACTCACTCTCATTCCCCGCAAGCCTGTTCACTCTTCCTGATAGAAAGGAGAGGAAGGGAGGAAGGAAAGAGAGGCGTGGGCCCTCCAGGAGTGAAAGCAGCCAGGTCACAGGCATTTCCAGTCTGTCACACACGCCCTGCCATATGCACAGACCCCAAACTGCAATTATGTCCAACGCTGCTGGTGAGAACGGGGCTAGAACAATATGTTGAAAGCTTTCAGGGGATCTCTGTCTCTCTGCAGTAGCTAAGGCCCATGCTCCTGTGGGATCAGACCTCCCTCACTCGATTTGACCCTCACAGCCCCTTTCCCAGGCTGCAGGCGGAGGTTCCACACCTTATACACAAGGTCTGCAGCCACCTACAGGGGCTCTGGAACCTTTCTCTTCTCATTTCAAGCCATCTTTGAGATGCTCACTCAGGCACCCGAGCAAGCTGCTTTGCTCTGGACTTTCAATCTAGAAATGTCTATCAAAAGTGTCGTGTGTGTCATAGAAGGGTGCTGAGAGCAAGCAGAGTCCTAGGAGGCCCCGGCCCCGGGCAGCCTCTCTTCCCCTGGGAGGTAAGAACCCACCTCAAGCTGTGACACCAGCCGAGTCTAGGCCTCGCCTCAGCTTTCCTCACCAGCAACGGCCTAATGTTCCCCCTAAGCTTCAATTCTTTGAGACTTTGCACATTTTGAAATTCAGGAGGCTCCCAATGTAGAGCACGGAGAAGGGACTGACAAAAGGCAGGCTCAGAGGCACCCAGAGCATGGTGATACCACCCTCTTAGGGGCAAATAACCATTTTAGGAACTTCACGAGGAAACGAGCTGGGTCTAGAAATACCCAACAGAATGAAAGCCAGCTGCACAGTGATGCAGACGGATTGTATTAATTTTCCAGTCTGCGTAACAAATAACCACAAGCTTGTTGTCTTAAACCAACACCCACTAATCAAAGTAGTGGGTTGGAAGTCTGTGTGGACTCTACTAGGCTCTCCGTGCACAGCCAAAATCAAGGTGTTGGTTGATCTCTTATCTGGAGAGTCCAGAAAGAATCCACTTCCAAGTTCATTCAGGTTGTTGGCAGAATCCAGTTCCTTGCAGTTGTGGGTCTGAGGACCCCGCTTCCTTGCTGACTGCCAGGCAGGGGCCACTCACTGCCCCCACTGGAGGCCACCTGCATTGCTCGTCCCAGGCTATGTCCACCTTCAGAGCCAGCAATGGAATCAGTGCCATGCTTTGAATCCCTCTGACTTTCTCTTCCAACACCATCCAGGGAAAACTCTGCTGTTAATAGGCTCATGATATTAGGTTAGGCCCATCGTGATCATCTCCCTTTTGCCATATCACCTGGGAGTAATGCCAGCGCGTGAAGGTCATGGGTCATCTTACCTTGCTGACCAGTCACGAGTATGCACATGTTTCCATATCTGAACGTTGCTGACCGGTCACGAGATAACTCATGTCTGCACTTGCATTAATTTAAGTAGTTTTGAACACCTTGCTGACCAAAGTAGCTGGCCACACAGACGAGTTCTGGCTTGGGATAGCAGGTCAGCAAGGTGTTAAAACCCTACCACATTCCACTCCTAGGAATGTATCCTAAGAATCCTGAAACACTAATCAGATAGAATATATGCGCCCTTATGTTCATAGCAGCACAGTTTACAATAACTAAGATCTGGAAACAGCCCAAGTGCCCATCAGTAGATGAGTGGACAAAAAAGCTGTGGGACATTCACACCATGGAGTTCTATGCAGCTGTAAAGAAGAAGAATCTTGTGCCCTTTGGGACAGTATGGATGGTCCTGGAGAATATTATGCTAAGTGAAATAAGCCAGGCAGAGAAAGAAAAACATCACATGATCTCGCTTACACGTGGAATCTAAAGAACTTAATAAACAGATGAAC